AGTCCCCGGCCCCACCCCGCCCCGCTCCGTTGCCATTCCTACTTTTCATTGACTGAGGCCAATAGCATATGCCCATTTATTAATCGGTCGATCGAATTTGAGTGGTTGGATTAATTTTGGAACCGTTGCTGACCGAGAAACTAGCATTTTGAAGGATGCGCCAACCGAGGCCGACTGTTGAGTCTCATGAAATCGATAGCAGTTGTGCTTTTCTAGTTGGATTGAATGGGTAAATCAGGCTATGCGGGTCACTGCACAACCCTTAGGAATTAACTCTTCCTAACTAGATTAGGGAGACAAAAAAAAAACAAATAAATAAATAAATGAATTAAGCAAATTACATACACACAAGAACACTAAGATTTACGTGGTTCACCTCAGAATAGGGCTACATCCACTGTTGTTGTGATTTTCATTATGATCAAAAAATAATACAACTCTCTTAATTTAAAAGAGGCACCCCCTTCATCTATTTATAAGTATAAAATTTGGATAACATGGAAGCAACAAGAAATTAGTAAAGTACCCAAACCTCCTATTGGACCTAGGGTTGAGTGAACAGTACTTATCAGGGTCTACAAACTCAGCATGATTTTGTACATGAATTCTCTTTTGTTCGCTATTTCAAGCAATAAAATTTTACTCTGTATGGTAGTGTAATTTTTACTCTACATAACAGTAAAATTTTATTGCATTTTCATATAAGAAATATAAAATTAATATGTAAAAATTTTAAATTGAAGGATAACATTTTTAATTTTGAGTATTAAAAATTCCAAATTTGGGGGTACAAATGTATGTGTCAAAGAGTAAAGTTTTACTATCTTTTTGAATATAAATCTGTAACTAAAATAATGTGATGATATAGAGGGTTTTCAGAGGTGGTGGTTAGAGTAACTTGCTGAACGAGATGAGTTATCGGAGAGGGGTGTGAAGACATGTAGGATTTGAGAATAGTTTTGTCATAGTTTAAACATTATCCTTGATAAAAGAATTTTCTTTTCTACTTCTCCTTTCTACAATAAAACATAAAGAAAAATGACTTAGACCTCCACTGGGGTGACCCCCACCACCTCCAATGAATGATGATTGGCCCATATATATATATATATATATTTATCCTCTCTTTGACCCTCACGTGTATGTGGGGGTGGTGGGGGTCACCCCCAATTGGGGGTCTGAAGCACAGTTGTTTATTTGAGGGACTTCTCACTGGAAACCCCTATAATTTTTGCATTTATATAATTAATGAATTACTAATAAAAATTGAAAATGGGACTAATTGTCATTTAAATTAAACGGAATTTTGAGTAAAAATATTGATTTTATATGAATTCTTCCAATCCTTTTATCAAATTTTCATTACATTTAAATAATAAAAAAAATCTTCTTATCCAAAATTTTCCTTTTCATTAAATTTGATGAAAAAAAAAAAAAAATCATCTTCAATATTTCATCTTTTTTAATTTTAATCAAATTTAAATTTGATGAATTCTCAATTTTATGAAAAAAATAATTGAGAAAAGTTCACTTTACCTCTTAAACTATCACTTAGAAATCAATTAACCATTTTCAATTAATAATATCAATTTTACGCTTAAACTATTTGATTTTGGATCAATATTATCTTGTCGTTAGCTATCATCTATAATTAAACGAAAAGTAACACCAAAATAATATTTGAAAATCTATTTTGTCTCTCAAACTATCTCTAAAATATCAATTAAAAAATTATTATTATATAGTTTTTTAATTTATATTTTGGAGATAGTTTAGAGGGTAAAATGAAATTTCAAAATAAATTTTGAAGTCACGTCAGCAATTTTCATTTGATTATAATTAGGGGTGGGTGCGGGTCGATTGCTGCTACGGAACCTCCAATTCGCTATCTGTCCACCAGATTGGCGGGGCAGATTAGAGAAAATCAATCCACATTCGTTCACCAATCCGGCAGTGTGGATTGAGCGGATTGGCAGATGGATGTGAATCGGTTTGACAGTTTGAAATTTTATAAATTTTCAACATAGTTCAACTTGTGCACTTCCTAAAAATATATATATATATATATATATTACAATCAATGACTTAAAAAAAGTATTACAATCAGTGCATGTCTCATCCAAAGAAAGAAAGTTTGAAAGTTTAGAATATTACAATTGCTGCATACCTCATCCATATATTATAATCACAGCATGCATCAACCACATAAAGTATTATAATCTGTGGTTCTTAAAATATAAAAACAATTCAAACTACCAAAATTATGAACAAAGCAGTGGTAGAGATTGTATACCTCTATATTGTTACATCTATATATGTTTTTGAAAACAAAAACTAACTAGCATATATCATCTTTTTTATTTATTATTTTTAGAGTTTGATTTAAAAGCCAAAAAAATATAGATAAATAATATATTTATTTTTTTCAATTCAAAAAATATATTTAAGTTGAAAACTCTTTTTCAACAGAATATTTAAACTTTTTTTCAATTGAAAATACAAACAGAATATCTAAATAAATTGAAAACACAAAGTCTTACAAATTACTAGGAGTGCTTGCTGTTTGGCTGTTTGGTTGCGGCCAAAAAAACATCAAATCCTTCATCCGTCCAAAATTAGGCGGTTTGAAAAAAATCAATTTGCAACCGTTCGCTCGTTATCACGCATTCGTTCAAAATGCGGCGAATCGGTTCTGTTCGGTTGATTTGGGCGGATCGATATATCTGCTGCTCACCCTTAATTATAATGACATGGGTAAAATTGATATAAAATGGAATAGCTTATGTATAAAATTGGTACTATTAGAAAAATATGAATTAAATTGGCTTTTGAGTGATAGTTTAGGATAAGGGTGGACATTCGTTGGGTGGGACCAGGTTTGGACTGAGCCAACACTACTGTAATCGTATGGAGAGGAAATATTCGTCGCTCTTCGTATTTCTTGTGTCCAAGCTGTGCTTCACTCCGATTAACCTGAGAACACAACGACGGTGAGTTACCCGGCGGTGTGCTACCAGAATATCCCTCCGACGGTTAAGTTAACACACTTTTAGAGAGAGGAAGGGAGAGAAGACCAAAGAGAGATCGAGCTCTGGGTAGCCAGAAATTCCGACTTGTTGTATGGAGGCGCTGCTCAGTCTATATAGCCTCTGCGCGCTACTCTGTTTGTCCTTTCCTAGACACGTGGTTGTACTGCCCTCTCTATTCTTTACACGTGTACGCGTCAATACTGCCAAACAACATTGGCCAAATCGCCAAACGATATTGACGCACCTTTTGGAATCACATTACTCTCGATCGGTCAAGATCTAGGGCATCTAGCCAACTTCTTCATTCGTGCTTATTCATCCCCGCTGACCTTGCTCGGCCTTGGTATGCAACCGGTGCGTCTAGTCCGGTCGGAAGAATCATCGCTTCACCTAGCTCGGCAAAGGATCCACGCCGAACAACTAGCTTGGTCCAACTTCTGGACCTCGGGCTAACTCAGCCACGATCTAGAACCTCAGCCAAACCGTCCTCGGCTATGCCAACTCGATCGCAAAATCCCACGGCAAGGCCCAAGTCACAACTAGCTCGTCCAGTTTGCTTGGCGCAAACTCTCCTCTCAACTACATAATAAAAAATTTTGTGTTTGTCTAAGCTCGGCCCAACCCTAACATCGGATCTCTACATCTGCCCAAGACAGGTCCAAAAAATAATTATAAATCCCAAACCCATCCATCGGGCTATATGTTAAAAAAAATTTAAAACATCCACAATTAAATCTAATTGCACATTATATATCTTAAATAAATATACTAATATCATTATAAATTGAAAGATTTTGTATATAAATTGAAGTATTTCTTAAATAAATTCAATCATATCACCAAAATGTGAGTTTTAATAAATTAACAAAGATAAAGTTTCGATTCCAACCAAAAAATATATATTTTTTAATATATTATTATTAATTAATCAATTTAATAGCGGGCCAGGTCGGGTCGGAAATATAAATTCCAAACTTAGCCTATTAATATTTCGGGTTAAAAATGTTGACCTAATGTGACTCTATGGTCTAAAACATACTTTCCAAGTCCTAAAAAACTTTACCAAAAAAAAAAAAAAAAAAAAAATCACTAGACCTAATTCCTTAAGACAATTGTTATTATGAATAAACATGAAATTTTCTCATCAACAAAAAAAAAAATGACTCTTTTGATTTGATAAAAATTTCATAAAATGAAGGATTAGATATACTCTAACCAATGTTTTTAAAATAAGTTTATTTTCATTACACCGGTGAGCCATTCAACTAAATTGGCGAAGCAGAACACAAAATCACATAATAGTATAACAATATAATCACAATGCCACCTTCAACTTTATTTATATTTCGCAAATATATATTTTTATTATATTTTCTTTCACATATTATATATTTTACAAATAATAAATATAAATATGTTTATGTACTTATAAATATATATTAAAATTTAAAAATAATTTAAATAAATATGTCCTAATTCTTATATTATTATTATGTAATTTTTAATATATTTATAATATAATTATGATGTTACGATTTGATTCATATTCAACTCGATAGGTGAAGCAATGACTTATCCATCCGTCATCGATCTGATTCTTAAAACCTTGGCTCTAACATGTAGTAAAATTAGATTAAAAACCTGTAATTTATACTTAAATTTTTTAAAAAGTTCTCCAGAGTTGGCTGCCTCTACACAATTCCCATGGATCTTCACCATTGTACAGGTTGCTAGATCAATTACCCTGTTCTTGTGTTCTGTTTGATGTGCCACAAATTCCTCATTTTACATGTTAGCTAATTAAAGATCCATCATGATGTCATCCCAATTGATAAACTTAAATTGTTTTAACTGAATCATTGAGCAATCTCAGCTGGCCAGAACTATTACACTTTAGCATGTCTAAGTGTTCAACACCATTTCCCGTATGAGGGAAAACAAATAAAACAAAAAAGAAAAACATCTTTGAAGTTATGAACTACAAGAACGTAAATTTAGGGCATATAAGAATTTGTGTCCACCTCCGAATTTCAGAAATGCACATTAAGCCAAATGCTCTAGAAAATCACCATTTATTGTCGATATGCTCATTATTGCAACTTGTACGGGTATGCATTAGATGACAAATATGCTCTACAGAAAGAAAGATAAAAGGGCCGGATTGGCTCATACGTCGCAGCAATACATACCAATGTCTGAAAATCCATCACCTATCAGATCCAGAAGACAATGACAGTGACAAACGAAACTATCTTAAAAAAAAAAAAAATGTAATCCTAGAAGATTTAAAATCCAATCAAACATGTGACTGAAACCTTCTGGGACGATGACATTAGAACCCAATCCTAATGTGATGCTTCTGCCAATTTCTGCAAAATTGCAAATAGACAAGAATAAGTCGGGAAAAGCTAAACTTCATAAATTGCAATTACTACAGTATCTTTTGTGCAAATCGTCTTATACTAAACTAGTTGGATATTAGCAATGAAAATAAATGAATAATTCCCTGCTAAATTTATTAGGATAGCACCAAAACATTCAGCTGGTTCATTTTTGGTCACTCTGACCAGTATACTTTATCAGGGAAACATCACATAATATTTAATGTTAATTCCTTGCTTAACACAGAAAATATGTGATTTCTGCTGAATCTATAAATAACTCATGAACGGCTGACATCTACTAAAGTCTAAATGGTCTTCCACAAATTTATGGAAACATTTCTCATCGGCTTCATTAAGCAGGATCATTGTGCATTGCTATAAGCGACAGAAATCTAAATGAAGGTTGATACAGGGAAAAGTGCAGAACAACAAAACAAAATCCCTTATCCTTGTGTGTGAACAATATAATGTTTACAACATATAATCCCTAAACCAGACTGCATCAAAAATAAAATGTGAGATTCATGGTTTCAACAGTATAAGAAAGGGAGTTAATTACACAGACACCGCTTCAACTATCTTGAAATATCACTTTACCCTCTTCGACTAGAACCGTACTACTAGATCCTTCAACTATAGAAAACCATACTAATGCAATTCTTCAGGGTGAAAGTGATGCATTTTATAGTTGGGAAATGTATGGTTTTGAAGTTGAGGGGAGTAGAGTGATATTAAGTGATAGTTTAGGGGGTGTTCGTGTAATTAACCCTACAAAAATACCTCTTCCTTGTCGTTCTTGCCTCCGGCGAAGGTCTTGTACCCACTAAAGAAAAGCAAACCCCAGCCAGATAAAGAGACAATCACAAACTGCATAACATGAGCTCCATCATGAACACAGTTTCAAACATATGTCACCAACAATATATGTACACAATATTTCATGAGAACATTTTCCTAAAACAAATATAAAAAAACAAAGAAACGGAACCACCCTTAGATTTTTGCCAAATAAAGCATCCCCTGCCCAAAGAATGGAGAATTGTTGAAAAACCCAGTGAGATAATACTTACATCGTATCGAATGAATTCTTTTTTTTAATCTAATGTATCCAGTATTGCACTTTCCAGTGAAAGATTTTATTATATAAACTAGGTGGAGGCCTTGATATATAGTATATACAAAATGGTTATTTTCAAGATACGGGGCCATCGGCCCCTTGGCCCTAGTGTACCTCATACATGATTAAACTTACCAAACAAGTTAAAAAATAGAATTCTAGTAAAAGTAATTAGCTGCTGACTTGTTGCCAAAGGTAACAAAGGATGGTGAACCATAGACTCATAGTACAAATTATTAATTGGAAACAAATCCAAATGCACCATGCCGAAGTCCACATACACGTGCAGGTGTACAGGCAAGAGAAAATCTTATTTCACTTAGTATACAAACACAATATGCAAATGCGCAGAAACTTTAGTTTGAAGATGATCTCGAAGACAATGCAAAAGGTGCTGAACAAAGAAAAAATGAAAAATGCAAAAGGTTATAACATTGCAACAAAGGTGATAAAAGAAGAGACCTATAATCCAACAGTCTGTACTTCAGTAAAAAAAGTCATTATTAATTTAAAATATAATATATTATGATACACAATATCTATAACCAAAACTAATAAAATGCAATAAGGATTGTTTGTATCTTTCTATTTCATATTTCTCATTTCGTTGTTCTAGTTTTTGGAAATAAAGGCAGTGGAAACACAAATGTTTTGATATCATTTCATTATTTTATCAATCTGATTTTTGGAGAATTCAGAGAAAGTTTCTTGAGAATGGGCTGCTCTCTAGAAATTTTCTTGTAAATAGTTTTTGGAAACAATATCACCAAACATGTTTTGTAAATCATTTTCATATTTCACTTGTCAATCAGAACTTAAATTTACAATATCATCAGAGAGGAAGGGTTGGTACTACAAATATATATATATATATATATTTTTTGTTTTGATTGGCACTGGGGTGTCCGGATCAAAGCCCGACTAATCTCCAGGGGTGCACAGGCCCTCAGCAAGGAGTTTCCCTCAAGTGCACTACGGTTAATTCAAGAGTGTTTCCCTAGTCCAATGGCCCCAAGGAATTTTGTTAACACCTAAGAGGTTTCAATCCATGAACCTTGGAGGGAGCACATCCCCAAGACCCAAGGCCTTGCTACCAGGCCAACCCCTTAGACTTGGTTAGGTACTACAAATTATCACCTCATCTTAAGGAGCCTTACAACCCAACTACTTACATGCATAATGCATTGTGCCTTTCCTCATTGCCACAACCCACATTCCTACTATCCCCCTCCCATAATTAAATAATTTCAAACTTTAAAAAATTGGTCCCTTACTAATGCCATCATTGATCTATATAGTATTTGATCAAATCATCACATGAAATTATCTCTTGTTCTAATGGCCACCTCTATCATCTAAAAAATGGACACCTCTATCATCTAAAAAATGGACATATTTAATATTTTTATTTACGTCATACATCTAAAAGATGCATATGCTGGTAATTCTATCTCAAGCATCTCAAATTCTTATTATACTCAATATGGAGTTCCTAGGTCCATTTTTAGAATATCAAGAGATATTATATTTTGGCTTTCAAATAATTTTATGGTTGGCGGCATTTGGAGCCACATTTCTTGCTATGAGAAGACAATGCCTTCCCAATTAGACAGTGCGATCGTGTCCTTGTATAATAATTATTACACAACATGTGTTTATTTCATTTTTCATAAATAAGATTGTTTGTCAATTTTTTATTTATTTATAAATGTTTGTACTTAATATTAATGATTCTCGATTCGATTTGATTCACAATTCACAAAATTAGGATTTCGATTCAAGATACAATTCTCAATTTGACAAATATGGTCATGTGAAATGACATAACATTGAAACATTTTTGTGAAGTCTGAACAAAATCTATTCCAATATAACCAAACCGACAAGTTCAGGGAATTAAGAATGCAGAAGAAGTAACAGGTAATAATATTTTCAAAGATTCATATTTTTCACAAAAGTAGCAATTGTCAATGCCAATCTCTTACATTATTGAAAGCTTAAAGTGAATATTTACTATATGAAAATAAAAAAATAAAAAATAACATCTGTTTAGTCTTAATTGAGGACACAGACATACCAGCAAAAAAGTTAGTTTTTAGTACATGTCAAGTGATACTACTGATTTATTAATCAAAGGTGGCACTTGATGACATGCCAATTTAGGGAATAGGTTCTCAATCATTTCACATTGTTGTATGGTTCAATGACACGACATGCTAAATTCTGCAATCACGAAGAAATATGCTTCAGTCAACAATATATGTACACAATATTTCATGAGAACATTTTCCTAAAACAAATATAAAAAAACAAAGAAACGGAACCACCCTTAGATTTTTGCCAAATAAAGCAGCCCCTGCCCAAAGAATGGAGAATTGTTGAAAAACCCAGTGAGATAATACTTACATCGTATCGAATGAATTCTTTTTTTTAATCTAATGTATCCAGTATTGCACTTTCCAGTGAAAGATTTTATTATATAAACTAGGTGGAGGCCTTGATATATAGTATATACAAAATGGTTATTTTCAAGATACAGGGGCCATCCCCTTGGCCCTAGTGTACCTCATACATGATTAAACTTACCAAACAAGTTAAAAAATAGAATTCTAGTAAAAGTAATTAGCTGCTGACTTGTTACCAAAGGTAACAAAGGATGGTGAACCATAGACTCATAGTACAAAATATTAATTGGAAACAAATCCAAATGCACCATGCCGAAGTCCACATACACGTGCAGGTGTACAGGCAAGAGAAAATCTTATTTCACTTAGTATACAAACACAATATGCAAATGCGCAGAAATTTTAGTTTGAAGATGATCTCGAAGACAATGCAAAAGGTGCTGAACAAAGAAAAAATGAAAAATGCAAAAGGTTATAACATTGCAACAAAGGTGATAAAAGAAGAGACCTATAATCCAACAGTCTGTACTTCAGTAAAAAAAGTCATTATTAATTTAAAATATAATATATTATGATACACAATATCTATAACCAAAACTAATAAAATGCAATAAGGATTGTTTGTATCTTTCTATTTCATATTTCTCATTTCGTTGTTCTAGTTTTTGGAAATAAAGGCAGTGGAAACACAAATGGGCTTGCATTTGGAGCCACATTTCTTGCTATGAAGACAATGCCTTCCCAATTAGACAGTGTGATCGTGTCCTTGTATAATAATTATTACACAACATGTGTTTATTTCATTTTTCATGAATAAGATTGTTTGTCAATTTTTTTTTTTTTATAAATGTTTGTACTTAATATTAATGATTCTCGATTCGATTTGATTCACAATTCACAAAATTAGGATTTCGATTCAGGATACAATTCTCAATTTGACAAATATGGTCATGTGAAATGACATAACATTGAAACATTTTTGTGAAGTCTGAACAAAATCTATTCCAATAAAAGAATAATCACCATTCAAAATGCATACAATCAAGTATTTTACACTTCAAGGATAACAATAGAACTCACATGCTCTTCCTTCCATTTAGATGGACTCATTGGGTCTTGCCAGCAATTAACCTTTGGGGGTCCATGGTGATCTAAGATAAATCAAATAAAAAAAACATTAGTATTTCAAGAAGTGTGACTAACCAACGCATTACCACACAGTTCACAATGCAATAAAAATATTATTTTGCACAAGTTTTATATGTACAATGAAACCACCCAAACAGAAAAGGAACTTCAAAATAATTACAAAGACCGTTTCAAGGTCAACAAAGGGAAAAATGTACAAAGAGTAAAAAACAACCAAAATATCAACCAAAGGAATAATGCAATATTATACATTGTGAACACTTTAAATTGTAGTCCTAAAAAACATATTGAGTATCGATGAGGTTACCACTGACGAAGAACTAGGTGGCCTCAATATGATTACAAGTACATAGCTAATTTCTTCACTTGGTTCCTCTTCCATATTAAAAATTATAGCCTTTTTCTACAACTTAAGAGTCCTTGTGACCCTTAACAATTCTCCTTGACATCTTTAACTAAAAATTCACCTCAATAGTAAAACCAGCCTCTTAGCATTTGTTCTATATCATACATCAAATCTTGTTGCCAACAAAAGCAGTTTCTAGAAGTGACTAGTACCACTGAGGAAAACTTTAGGCTCGTAATCAAGGAAAAAGAGGATTTTAATCTCGACTTTATTCCAATGTCAAGCAGATCATAGTAATGGACGTCCATTTAAAACATACCTATTTACACATGCAACTGCAACATTAGTGGGGAAGGGAAAATACACAAAAATGAGCAATTTTATCAATGGAAAAATAACAGATAATGAGGGAATGAATCACAATGCTCATAGATGCACATCTTATAACCCCAAGGGGTTGGCATGGTGGTCAAGGCCCAGGGCTTAGGAGTGTGCTCCCTTCATGGTCTCAGGTTTAACAATTGCTTGGGACCAATTCATATGGGGCTTTGCTCCAGCTCTAATTGGGCCCTCCGCTAATGAACGGTGAGATTAGTCTCCAGATTAGCGGGTCCATTGAATCAGAGAGACACATCTCATACAAGTGAGTCACACATGACACAAACAATACGGTCCCCATCTACTCTTATTATTCATGTTGCATTTGATGCTTGAGACATTCCCACAAAACAAAAAGAATGGGAATTTTTTCGGACATCGTAATGGTGAATCCCTTTGGCACAATGTACAATTTAGATGGTTTCCCTTCATTCAAATTCAATATTTTTTAATTCTAATCTGAAAATTATAGTTCCTTCCTGTTAACTTAACCCACAAACCAAACAAATCTTCAGCTTCTGTCATCTTCACCATAGCTCAAGATCATGGTGTTTCCTGCTCAACCTTTACAATTAAACTCACAACAAAATCACTCTCACCAATCATCAACTACAAAATCTCATTTCTACACAACTATACATGTACATATATGTAGAAAATTGTACATAATCAGAGGATCCAGTCCTCGATTGATTGTTGAATCGATAATTGGAGAGGAAAGGAGAGGAGATTTTACCTGCAGCGCCAGCGAGGCCACGGCGCTGGACTAGGCTGGCGGCTTGAGTGGCAGACCTTGGAGAGGAGAGCCGAGCAACAGTTGTGGCTTGAGAAGCCGCTTTCGCCACCCACGAAGAAGCCATGGCTCAGAGTTCGGAGATGAGATCGAAAACAAACAATAATCAACACGAATGCTAGACGAAAAGAGGTAAATGGTCTGGGGTAGAGAATCGATGCCACTTTCTGCAATTTTTATTTTGCCCCTTAGGTTTGATGTTTTTTTTTTTTTTTTTGGAATAATGCTTGGAACCTCCTTTTGGGGGTCACCCCTTCACCCTTTTGCCACGTGGCGGGTGGTGATTAGGGGAGTAGAAAAAAAAAAAGAAAAGGTAACCAATGAGAGAGAGGGGGTCAAAGGGGATGGGGGAAAAGGGGATGAATCATTACTCTTTTTATTTTGGTACTTTAATTTTTTTTTATTTATAATGTTTTAAGATTATAAAAAAATTAGATAGAAAGTATTTTAAGATTTTTCTAATTTAAAGTTAATTTTTTAATTCAAAATTAGATAGAAAATGTCAGGTTGATGTTACATGACATAATAAATATAATATTAAATTGATATTATGATTTGTGTCAAATGTATTAGTTATATATAATAAATTTTTTTTATGTAACATGGCCATCAATGTGACATTTTCTATCTAGTTTTAGACATAAGTTAGTTTTTGAAGTAAATTGAGAAAAAAAATAAAATATGAAGAGTCAAAATAAAAAAATAAAATAAAAGTGAAAGTAAAGAAATAATCAAATATAAAAGGTATAAAGTGTAATTTACCCTTTCTACAATCCAATTAAAAAAATTAAGATAAATTACAAATACGCCCCTTGAGATTTACTTAAAATATGAATTGTTCCAGTAATTTGAAATTACAAATATCTCACTATCAGAATTTTTTATTTAACAGAATTAATTAAAAAATAAAATTTATAACTACTCTCCTATGCAATAATAAAATTACCGAAATTATTAATTAAAATAAAATTTTGATATTATTAAAAATTGTTGATTAACTTGTTAATTTATTAATAAAAAATGACCAATTATTATGAAATTCAAAACGTCAAAGGGTGAGATGTAATTTTCAAAACTATAGAAAGCAATTTATATTTTAAACAAATATCAAGATTGTATTTATAATTTACCCAAAAAATTATTCAACAATGATTCATCCCCCTTTTCCCCCACCCCCTTTGACCCCCTCTCTCTTTTATTGGTTACATTATTTTTTTCTTTTTCTTTTTTTTCCTACTCCTCCAATCATCACTCGCCACGTGACAAAGGGGTGAAGGGGTGACCCCAAAAGGGGGTGCCAAGCATTATTCAAAATTATTAGGCCTTTTACCATTTGTTTTTTTACGGGGGTAGATTTAAAGGTGACAACGGTCGTTGGGTTGCCTGTCCCTGTTTTTTAAGGATTTAGAAAGGACATTTTGGTTTGTAGAATCAAATCGGATTTAATATTTTAAATCCTTTTAATAAATGTGTTACATTTGAAATTCATGTATGTAGCTCGGCTCAATTTGACCTGACCATAATTTATTTAAATATTTATTTTATTTTATTTTATTTTATTATTATTTATTTATGCCATATATTAAAAATATATAAGTTGCTGTAGAAGCAGTTTTCATTTTATTCATTGTAGTGTTTAGGCAGTTTTCCATTTTTGTATCCTTTAAATAAAATAGAAGTTTCTGTAGAATTTACAAATGTTAAGATGGAAAATATATGAGGTAATGCATAACTGTTTATGGGTAGCCTATTGAAGACAAATATTTCAAATAGTGTTATTGTTTAAGGGCAAATTACTCACAAGTTTTTTTTTTTAAAAGTATGTATTCTATTTATTCCTAAAACCTTTTAGATAGATCCAAAAATCTTGTGTCCATTTATCATCTCTTTTTTCTCTGCACCTTACTTTTTCTCTTTATCTTTATTTCTCTCATATCCAATGGTGACCACGATCACGACCGCCATAGCGCCTTCCTTCTTTTCTTTCTCTTTCTAATCTACAATTACCTGCGACCAGCAACCACCATTGATTAGGATTCATTGGCAACCACCAAGTATTGACTCCTTACTTTGCACTTACCGGTGGTGAAAGAGATGAGTTTCCGACGAAGAAGATGAGTGGATTTACTCAAATTTGATGTAAATCCACATCAGATTCGGCTAGATATAAACCAAAGTTGTTGTCTAAGTACAAGCCTCTCTCTATATTTGTCTCTTCCCTTCGATCTCTCAGTTTTTTTATTTTTTATTTTTCTGTATTACGTATTTCTATTCTTTTGTTATAATGGAGAAAATGTTCAAGTTCTGAATAAGTTGTTTTCAAGTTTTAGTTATAGGTGGTTTTAATTACAGGCAGTGAAAACTGTAAAATTTTACAGTTTCAAGTTTTTTTGTACTGAAATGAATCATTATTTAGAATTGTAAAATTTTGTAATTTCATAATATGCTTGTCAGTTTGATTAATAAGAATTAATTCTTAATAGAATTATACTTTGAAACTGTAACATTTTACAGTTTCAAAGCTTGCTTTTCAATTTGATAAACATTAGAGATTATTTGTGTAACCCTACAAAAATTGAATTTTTTTTCCCATTGTTGCTTTTTATTGTTGTTACGTTTTTTTTCTTTTCAGTTTGTCAATGTTTAACACATTTTGCTATGTTTTTTCGCTCTAATTTCTCAATTTATTCTCTCTTTTTTTAGGCAATATTCTGGACATTTTAGTGAGTCTCCGATAATATTCTTAACGTTTAACGAACATTCTAGACATTTCGGCAACTTTCGATAACGTTCAGAACACTTTGGCGATACTCCGGCGAATTTTTGGTGATACTTCGGCGATTTCCCAGTGATGTTGAACATTCCGACGAGTCTCCAATAACCGTCTGACGGAAGTCCGGTGATGGTAGGATGCAACAACTTCTTTAAATTTTTTTATAAATATTTTTATGTAACAATTAAAAATATGTAGTTTTAAATTTTGTGTATGAGATCTAAGAGGGTAATTTGTGTAGACAAATTGGGCCGAGCTAGGTAAAATCATCTTGGGAGTTTGGGTCGCGCATGGAGCATAGATAAGAGCATAGGTAGCTCGGTTCTGGGTTGAGTGGATACTGTGTGACGCCCCGAATCTACACTATTGGTTGCAGTCAAGGGAGAGTCACTAATGAGTCATATGGTCAATAGCCAAGTAAGATCCCAGATCGCTGGAGGAGTCAAATTAGCCTCCCTTCTAAATCCGGCTTTCTTAGGCAGCGCACTACCCTTTTGACAAATCTTAAAAGGTATTGACACAAGGTCTTATAAGCAACGATAAGGTGTATACATACAAATATTAGAATATAAGTACATAACAACCACGAATACCCTTAATTTCAAAAGCTTGTTCCATTACATTACATCCCAAAAGAAAGTTTAAATCTTCATATGAACCTTATGAAATATCAAAAGGGTAATATCTACTTTTCTAAGATAGCCAAAAGTCTTCGAAGGTTTCAGGCTCGTCATCTCCAGTTATAAGCTTCTCCTCGGCACTTGGCATGATACGCTGTGAGCTTTGAATGCCCAGTAAACACACACACAACCAGTCCCTTTTTCCCAGTCCAATACACAATCCCAAATATAGCATCAAGTAGTAAAGCATGATACTCAACTAAATAAATAAAGGTTTACAAGTTAGATGTTAGTAAACTAGAAATCCCCCAAAGAGACTTCATCCTCCCAACCACAAGAATCGGACGCGGATTATTCGGTATGCCCCCTCTTTTGCTGCTTTGTTGTAGACCTTACCTTAGATGCCTACCAACGGTTATGTACCGCGTAGCGCCAACCGCAGGGCCTCAAAAGAGACGGTAAAATAGGGCATTGCCCAAATCCCTCCTCACACCAAACCACCTAGGGTCCGAATGCAACTGCTCCGTTCAAGGGTTTCGAAAACCACTTGCGCAAGACTTTAACTTCCAAATAGGGAACGCATCCCAACAATCCATACATCACACATTATCATCTTTTCATTACTCAAGTGATCAAAAACCCAATACCATCCCAATTACGTTTTCCGTGGAGTTAAATGTTTTAAAACAAGGTTAAATCAACTTAACAAGATAATAATATCCACATAAGCATGCATCATTAAGATGAAGAAGACAAGGAACATAACCATAACACATACAATATCATGCCAAGATATGATCATAAGCTAATAAGCATTTTCATGAACACAAGAGCATAAAACACCCATGCGCAACAAAATTTTCAGATTTAATACCACATAAGGATTAGAATGAAAGGACCGTTTTAGATTTTTCATCGGACTCAGCCTTCCTATGGTTCGTAGAGAATTTAATCTAGTTTCTAGAACATATTTCGGAAATGGGATAGCTTTTCTAGATTTTAAGTTAACTAGAAAACACCCCAGCTCTGTCCAAATTCGTCGACTGTTACGAAAATTTGATTTTCTTGCAAACCGCTCACTGTTTTTCAATGAAACCAATTTTCGTTAAAAGATAACTCCTTAAGGGAGATTTTTACATAAAATAGAGGTCCACAATAATTTTCTACATTTTTCTAGAAATTTTGAAAGTTGGCTGCGAAAACAGATTCTAAGGCACAATACCCAAAACAAGAAGATTTGTGAGAAAATGGATCCATTAAGGGAAATTTTTTGTTTCTTTTGTGATAAAACATGCTAACTAACATATATTAAACTCATAAAATTTGCTTGAAGGTGTGCCTTTGAAAAGTTTGAGAGATTGGTATAAAAAAGATAGTTTTGTACCGAAATGAGGGAAACTACAAGAGAGGTAGAATCATGGCTCAACTCTTATCATTTTTAACACAAGGAAACCATTAATAACACATCTGAAAACAATGTTTAGAACCCTTACGAACATGTATTTGAAAAAGGAAAACGAAAGAGAAGGTTGTGTTGTGACTTACTTGCTAGACTTAAACAAGATGGCTCTCCTCTTCCTTCTTCCCCCTCTCAAGAATTCTCTCTTTCTCTCCTTTCTCTCCTCTAGGCCAAATGTGTGTGTGATTGTGTTGTTTGTGTTTTCCATGCTAGGGGGTGGTGGTATTTATAGGCAATTTTGGTGCAAAAAGACATAAAGGCCCACTAGTTGGAATTGGATGAAAAAGTTTGGATTTACTTGGAGTCTAATGGAATAG